CCTGAAATTTATTTTGAAAAATAAAGTGAACCTCGTACCTATGTTTGATAGGTAGATAACAGTATATTTGTTTAGGAAATCAATATAGGAATTTAGGAAATTAGGAAATTGATGATAATTTTGGTATGTTAAATAGTTATAACTGTAACCATGACATTTTAATGAAAATGTTAGCATTTATAGATTTTAATTTCTAAAAAATTGTTCTTCTAGATAAAAAAGACTTATTTATAAAAGAGACTTATATGAGGACCCAGACTGTGGGGGCAAGTTGCCGACTCAATTTGCTAAAAAATTTGTAAACCGCTTAGAGAGGGCTGAAAGCCCTATGAAGCGGTATATAAGTCTAATAAATAAATAAATTAATAAATTAATAAATTAATAATTTGACAAGAAACCTTTTTATGTAGTTTATCAGGAAATGTTATAAATAACTACAGTATGGGGGAGAATGTTATATTTATGATATAACTGTCTATCAAAATGGATTGAAAGTTAATGTTGCTGGCAAAGGGGCATCTTAACTTGAAGACAGAAAATGTAAAATTATAGTCTGAGATGTAAGGAATAGAAAAGTGATAATGTTATGAGTCAATTTTAGGGTAACAGGAACAAACAGGATGTAGTGGTTTTGTTGAGATGGAAGGAACTGAAGTTCTTTCATGTAAGTCAAATAACACCCATTTCCTTTCTCATGCATTTGAAATAATTACAAGAACAATATTTTCAATGAAAATGTATTTTGCAATATAGTCTTCTGTTCTAGATTTGGTTTAAAACCATGCCTGCTTTCAAAATCTTTACTATTTAAAGTGTACATTACACTTTCAAAATTCTGGCTTAGACTTGCTAGCCAGTGGTATTTGATTTGATTTTTATCCCAATCAAAATTCTGTGCTGTATCAGTTTCTCATTGAGATGCTGGATTTAGTTTTAAGGAATAATATTAAAGCATATTCCAATTCTTGCAAACCATTTTTTAGAACTATTGCATTTGACTCTGCTTATGTATTTAATAAAAACTAATGATTTAATTTCATATATGTGTATGTATATTTTGGGGTTTTGGAATATATTTATACATGTCTGACATTGGATAATCAAAGAATTTATACTTCAACATGCTTTGCATGCTAATAATACGATTTTTTAAAGAAAGGTATTCTTTTTCTGTTTTATCTCCATTCAGTATTTGTTAGTGTTGTGTAACAATCTAAATTTGAAGAGAGAAGTGAGATATCGTGCTTTCTCTATCAAACATGCCTTTTTTTTGGCCACACAAACGCAAGAAGAAGCATTTTTAAATGATTTGCTTAATTAATTCACCTGCATGTGTCATTTAATTCCCCCCCCCTCCCCGTTGAATTCAGTTTGCTACAAATCCCTAGTATTTGTATAGTGGCTTTGTAATTTTTTTTAGATAATAAGATTATTGAGATAATAGGTTACGTTTCTTAAATTCATAAACTAGGGTTACCTTATTTCTAGATGTCTTAATATGGGGCTGTACATGTGTCCTTAAAGTAGATTTCAGAGAGGAAATATTTTCAAAATAGTTGAAGTATGAACGAAAATTAGGTGAGATTTGGATGAGATTAACATATGATGTATAGCTAGACTAAATTAAATAGAGTTCTATGATGTGTCCATGTGATTGCATTTTCTCAATTTTGTCACTTTCTTCTATGTGTTTCACCACAAGAACTCCATAATTGTAATAGACTAATTTATAGCGGTACGTAGGATAATCATGTTTACCGGCTACTTTCAGTGTTCTGTTATTTTTTTAACTTGATGAGAATAAAGGCATCTCAACATTTCATTTGCAAATTGATTGTACCATAATTTTCTTCTATACAGAATTAAAAATATTTCATTTTGTCATTAGGTCAAGCCAAAAACTTAGTGCCATATTCAGGACCAAATAAAATGAGAGACTGCTTTTGTACAATCAATTTGGATCAAGAAGAGGTGTTTCGTACTCAAGTGGTAGAAAAATCTTTAAGGTAAGCTTCTAATCATGATGTCAGAAACATTATGCAATTAAAAAACTACTCTTTAAGAGTTAATTTCATATTTTTCAAGATTTCTATGTACTGCAGTAATTCTGAAATTAAATTTGTGTTCAGTTTGAAGGAGTGTATCATAATCGCTTCAGGGAAACGTGGATATTCTCCAATATAATCTTTTTCCTCACAGGGTTGGTCAATTTAGCCTACTGACCCAGTAAGACACTTAGATCCTTTTTGCATATTTTTTTGCTCGGTATGATCTTGCCCACTCTATGCTTATGCATTTACCTTTTCCTATATTTGTCCTTCCTAATGTGTGATCTAGTTGTTTTCAGTCAGTTGTTCCAATTCCTCCTGAATTTTAATTGTCCTATATAATGTTTCTTATCATCCTGATCTTTGTCATGTGTAAATTAGATCATATTATCTACCACTCATCAATCAAATAAAAATGCATTATATAGTACAGGGCTTAGAATGGACCTCTGCTTTATTTTTCAGTTTATATAGCTATCTTATATTGCATAAAGGTAGTTTGGCATAGTAGTTAAGATGCTGACCTAGAAATCAGGAGACTAGAGTTCTAGGCTTCTCTTAAACATGAAAGCTGCCTGGGTGATTGAGACCAGTCACTCTTTCTCAACTCAACCCACCTTTCAGGATTGCTCCTCTGGGGTAAATAGGCAGAAGTATTAGGTATGTTTGCTTCTTTGAATTGAACAAATATGTATAGTGGGACATAATAATGATTCTATGCAGCTTACAATAAAATCACCAATTATGCCAATCACTACGTCTTTCCAGCTTGACATAAAGCTGTACTTAATAAGTAGAGTTGTTCAACAAGTTTTGTATCCATCCATCTGAAGTAGCACAGTCCCAACCTGTCTTCTCATCTGGGATTTCATAGGAGACTTTGTCAAATACTTTATTTAGACAAGTTACACTATGTTCAACATATTCAAACCGGTCAATTTATTTAAAAAGATAACTTTTTGGTTTGGCGTGACTAGTTCTTAATAATCCATGCTAGCTCCTGCCAAACTATACGTTTGCTCTGAAATAGCAATAGCACTTAAATTTATACATCGCTTCATAGTTCTTTACAGCCCTCTCTAAGTGGTTTACAGAGTCAGCATATTGACTGCAACAATCTGGGTCCTCATTTTACCCAACTCGGAAGGATGGAAGACTAAGTCAACCTTGAACCTGGTGAGATTCGATCTGCCAAACTGCTGAGAGACAGTGATCAGAAGAAGTAGCCTGCAGTACTGCACTCTAACCACTGCACTGCTGACCTATCTATAATTACACACACAACATTTCCCCTTCTCCAGTCCTTCAGCACCAACATACATCCATGATTTCTCAAACATAAAAGAAAAGGATTTGGGGGGAAAAATCTGTTATGTGTTCCTTCAAGATTTTAAGATGTACTTGATATAAAACTTAATTGATAACTGATGACTGATCTTGGTTTGCAACTCCTTTCTTATGACAGTTCTGCTTATATCCATCTGAAGAGGTTCCCCTTTGGAAATAAAAAGCAAAGTAGAGAAATTTTGCCCTCTACCTATCCCTGTTTCCATCCTATAATCATCTTCTTCATATCTCTTACTTCTGACGTCATTTAAAAAGGCTTTTTGTTTCTCAAAATACTTTTGTTCCCTATGCTATCCCAATATTCTTTCTAGAATTTTTGGCTGGCATGTTTCCTTGGTGATTGCACATATTTTCCTTTTCCTAAATAATACCTTTGATTCTTAATTTAGCTGAAAGCTGTTTATGCTTCCACAACATTTTTTCTGTGACTTTAATTTTTTTTATTGAAATAGAGGGTAAATGTACATTCATACTGTCAGGCCCCAAGAATACATGTAGAATTACATCTGTAGTTTTCTTTAGTGTTTTTATAGACAGAATCTTGCAAACTAAAATGACTATCTGCCTAATTGTATATACTATATATACTCTGTGTATTGCTATGGAGCAACCATTTTAAGTTCATTTCGACAGACCAAACTTCAAGCTCCATTGTCTCTTTGCCTTCAGTCCCTTCCTCATGGGAATCCAGACTAGTCCACCACAAGTACCTTGCTTTTGAGAAGTTGCCAACCCTCTTCTATTTCCTTTGGCCCAAGGATTTCTGTTCAAAGTGACCTATCCAGCATTTTTTAAAAACTTCTTAAAATTGGCTCTCCTAAAATCTACAGTTTTTTCTCCAGTTTTTTCTTAATTTCTGTATGTTGGACTACTGCTAGCAAGGCAGGACTGGAACCAATTAGGCAAATTCAAATCCAAGCATTCCTGATAAGTGATTTTTCATTTGGAAAAAATACAAAGCCATAATGACAGAATTCCAGGATGACAGTGTTTCAACTGCAAACACTTTTCATAGATTTCAGACTTTTTTGCATTTTATTCTTTTGCATGTCCTCATAAAGGATTATTTAGCTCCAGTTTGGGGAATGGAAATGTCTATTCTTTGTTTAGAAAACAATCTGATTTGTGATCATGTTGTCTCTCACTGACTGCATGAGATTTAACTCTCCCATTCTAGTATCTTAAATTCAATAATTTATAATTGCCTCCCAAGATTCCTTGTACTTTTACAAGTGAAAACCTCCTTATTGATTAGATAATATTTGAACAGTCGATCTTCTCATATTTTTTCATCTTTCTGGAAAAGCCATAAGAAGACCACAAAGGATTTTTTGTAACTTTGCAATATTGGCTAAGTTGGTTTTCCAGTGGATTTGTGGGTATTTTAACTCTCTAAATTAATGCCTCTGAATTCTAGCTTGGAACAGCATTATCCCTATCTTCTGCCTCACCTGGCTCAATCAGTATCATGTCAATAAGATAATATTTTTTGCTATTTATCCTTCTTACACAATCTCTCTAAATTAAACCTTTGTGCTCAGATTCTTGGATGCCTATACATATGGACTTCCTTCACATAAAATGTTGCTTCTCCCATTTTTTTCCTGCCTATTCTATTTTAGTAAGTGACACTCTGTTCATGAGGTTCATCTCACCAAGTTACAGTAGGGCCTACTGAATCATACTTGCTTTCCTGCATTAAGATTTTATTTTTTATGTTTGTTCCTTATACTCTCCTGAGGAACAATATACCTTACAAGTCAAGGATAGCCACAATTCTTAAGGCATTCTGGAAACAGGTAAAAACTTAATAGTGGACAGTTTCCAAAAAGTTTCTGGAGTTTTTATATAGAGAATGGCATTTGCAAGAACAGTGAAAGATTCTTAGGATTAACTTATTGTTTAATAAAATATGTATCCTAATGTTAATTAGGAAGGCTATGCTAAGATTAGCAGAATAATTCCTTATGTTCATAAAGGATAATTTCTTTATTAAAATTTGAAACTTACAAATATAAAGCAAACAAGTTGCAAAATAATCAGATAGTTTGCTGGTTTGTTTTCACAGTCCATTTTTTGGAGAAGAGTTTTACTTTGAAATACCAAGAATATTCCAGTATTTATCATTCTATATTTATGACAAAAATGTACTACAGAGGGACCTGCGCATAGGTAAGAAATAACAATTGATGTATTAATATTCATGGGTTGTTTTATTATATTAAATGTGAAATTGTTGATCATTAAGGGGCATGCATTTCATACTTTAAAATATAAAATATGTGTTCTGCATTGTGTGAAGCTTAGGAGATTTTCTGTCCCAAATGACTAAATTAATACATGCTGTCGAACTATCATCAGTCTGCTAAATAGGATGTTCTGGGATAACACGCAAAACCAGACATTTCATTCTGAAATATTTTCTTCATTCATCTTCAAACAATGATTATTATATTTTCCTAATGCTAGAATGCAAAGTACTGATTGATTGTATTTTTAAAATGTTGGTTAGGATATAGAGTATTCTGATACAAATCTTTTCTAGACCTGTATTAGATGAACATAATACATTTTTAAATTAATATGCCTATTCAATTTTTCTTTTAGGTAAAATAGCTATCAAAAAAGAAGATTTGAGCATATATTCTGGCAAGGAAACATGGTTTATGCTTCAACCAGTTGATTCTAACTCAGAAGTTCAGGTAAAATCAAATAAATATGAAAACTAATGCTGATGTGTGGGTCCATGTGTGTGTAGTAGTGCTTACATGTTTATAGATTCATGTGTATCAGCTATATTTCTGTATAATTATAACCTAAATTGTTATCTATTTTCTACACAAGTCCTAAAACTAAATAAAAAGAATTAAACGAGTCAAAAACATTATATTTGTTAATTTATTCATTTGGGGAAAATGTATGTGGCAAAAGTATGTGAACTTCTAGGATTATCAGTTCAAAGAAAATTAGTGGTCATTATTGATATCATCAGTGGGATGATAATCAGGTCCTGCCTTATTTAAACAACAGAATTCTGGGTATTTGCTGTCAAAGTCTGATCTTCCTGATGCAAATATGTGGAACTGTATCATGACTTGAAGAAAGGAGATTTCTGAGAACCTCTAAAAATTAATTGTTGATTAAAAGATACGGAACTATTTCTAAAGAGTTTGAATTCCACCAGTCCACCGTTGGGTAGATTGTATACAAATGGAGGCAGTTCTAAACCATTGTTACTCTTCCCAGGAGCGATTGACAATCCAAGATTACCCCAAAAGCAATGTGTGTAATACTCTGGGAGGTCTCAAAAAACCACTTAGAGGGCAGGCTTGAATGTATGCACAGAGCCATTTTTATGCAAGAAATATGAAGCAGTTGTAGTCTTTCCAAGCTGGTATCATCTAGAACTGACCACTGATTGGAGATTATGGAAAATACAGTAAAATACTGTATAAAAGAAATGAGAAGAAAAACATTTATACAAGTAGTTCCAAATATAAGTCATCTAAGAAATATTGATTTCTTTTATGGGAAGATAACAGTTTTCCAGGTTAGAGTTCCACAACTGGAACCAGAATTTCTATTGTAAGTCATTGTGGTCACAAGTGGAGTTATCATGTGACTGGACCTCATTTTATGACCATGTTTATTATGGTTGGATGTTGTATCACACGGTTGTTAAATGTGATCCAATTTAACAGTGGTTTTTTTTTCACTTTTTGCTAAAAAAGAGGGGTAAAAATAAATCATGATCACATAACTATGGAACACTGAAAATAGTCATAAATGTGAGCCAGTTGTCAAGTACTCAAATTGCCATTATGTAATGATGGAGGGGGGTGGGTGATGGTCATAAGTTCAAATTTAGATCGTAACTGTCTTTTTGGAGATTGTTAATTCAAGCTATCATTAGGCAAGCAGTCATAAATCGAGGATTATAACTCTAGCATGTTTAGCACATCTGATACTGGCTAAATTTCAGATTTTCTAAATTATATCTTGAAATATTAAACAGATGCTGTAATTATTGTAGGGTAGGTTATTGTTTTCGGGCTGTTCTGTGCTGTTGTCATTATGTTAGTTTGTATAGCAGTTATAATCGGTTCAGGAGTAAAAATAGCCCCAGAAAGATGAATAAAGGTAGTTTTTATTTGTAACCACAGTTGGGACTAACAATTCAGTCGTTAAGTGAAGTAGTTGCTAAGTGAAAGAGCAACTGTGCTTTTGTCTTACTCCAGTTTTCCTTTCTATAGAGACCTAAAAAAAGTCTCTAAACTTACATCATCACCATTATCAACTGTTGCTAAATAAGGAACTCACTAAACTAGGACTACCTGAATTCATGATTCTCCCTTTAGGAGTAATATTCTACCATATGTTCTCTTCAACGGTTTTTACTAACGTGGACCATGAGCTTCCATGTCATCAATTGTTTGTTAGAGGAAGTAGAAGCAATATCTATTGTTCGTTAATATTAATTGCTTAATATTTGACATCCTGGTTGAATTTATTCAGTAAATAATCATTTAAAACCAACATTTTCAGAGGAACATGTTAATTGGTAAGATTTGGGTTTTATTTATGGAAAGAGCTTTCAGTTTTTCTGCTAATGTTTTTATAATCTTATGGTAACTTTTGGAAAACATATTGAAAACATATAGAACAGTATTGGCAACATAATAAGTATAATTTGACAGACTTTCAACTCAATGTTTTTTCTCTTTACCTACAGGGAAAAGTACATCTTGAATTAAAATTAAATGAACTGATTACAGATAATGGATCTGTATGCCAGCAGCTAGTAGTACAGTAAGGCTATTTATTAATTCTTTTCAAAAATGTTTGCTTATGGAAACTAAATAATCAGATTAAAATGTTATTAATTATTATAACTGTAGGAAAATTTCCAAATGTAAAACACCTTTGAATTTTACTTTTGTTTAATAATGACTACATTCCTAAAAAAAATTCTAATTCAATTTTCTGAACATTACTTTTCCCATTCTTTTGAGGGGGTGGGGGAATGACAATTTTGGTATCTAACATGAGATCTATCATTTTTCTTTTTTCCAACTACACATTTCATATTTGGGGAGATGAGAAAGAGAAGATACAGTTAAAACAAGCCTTGTATACCCAAACCTCCTAGGTCCCAGTGTTTGAGCATGTTATAAAATTTCATATAACTGACATGAGATATAAGTACATACTGTATCTAATAATATTTGAGGTGTTTTTTTAAGTATCTAATTAAAAGTAAATAAAACACTTAAATGTGTAGAAGGGCACAAAAAGATAAACTTTACCAAGATTTTATTTTGATAGATAAAATGGTAGATCTTGACAAATGTACATGCAGTTTTTCTTTCAGGTATAGCAGGAGGTATTCAAACTTTGGTTCTGAGCCCATATCAGTCAGATAGCTAGCAAATAAATGATTACATGCTCAGAACTGATCATTGATAAGAAAAATGTTAACTTAAGGTTTCTGAAATTCTTACTTTTCAGTATTGCAAATGTTATTTTATGTTTTCATAGAGATCTTTTAACAAGTCATATGTTAATTAGTATATCTACATTATTAAAAAGCATCATATAATCTATAATATAAAAGACATGGAGGATGGGATTATTTTCAAAAGATATTAATAAAAAATGAAGCATATAACTGAGAGCGTCATTTGGAAATTTATTGCACTATGAAGTTATTTATATTTCATATTTCGAAACACCCATTTCCATCAAAGAGAGACTCTGGATGATGTACAGCATCAATAATTTATAAAACAATGGATAAAATTAACATTAAAATTAAGTTAGGGTTAAAAAAGAAAATTATAGAATAATGACATTGTAAACTTCAAAAGGATGAAAATCCCACTGTGGCCATTTAATGTTGGTTATTACGCGGGGGGCCCTCTCATGGACTAGCCAGCCCCATGGTTGGTGGTCCTTTGTGTCCGCCCCCCCCCCCCCCGGCAAGGTTGCAGAGTCAGGTTTTGACTCCCTTGCCCAAGGCCAAGAGAATGGATGCTTCCTTCATCTCTGGGAGCTGGATGTTCCATATTGCGAAACAGTGGAAACGAAGTCTCTCTTCCTAAATCCACCAAATTGAAATTCCCTGATTGCTGGTCTGCATCCTACATTTCCTGCCCGAATAAATGAGACAGGCTGATGTGATGAAGCTGGTTCTGTAGGTAACCTGGTCCTAAGCCATGTAGGGCTTTACAGGGAATCACCAGCACCTTGAATTGGACCAGAAACAAACTGGCACTTGGTGCAGTATATGGAGCAAGGGTGTTACATGTGCTCTTCTTGAGGCATCCAGTATTGTTCCCACAGTCACACTCTGCAGCAGCTGAAGTTTCTGGATACTTTTCAAGGCTAACCCCATGTAGAGCGTGTTGCAGGTGCCCCATGTTTAATGCGAAGTTAGGCAAAGACGCTCTCAGCCATAGCCACCATATGCTTTTTGAGCAGGAACTGTGAGTCCAAAACTACCCCAAGTTATGTTCTGGGTCTTCCTGAAGTAGTGGGACCCTATCCAAGACCAAATATGATAAACTCATGGATACAGAAGCAATGGGTAGACCCATTTTATTGGGGTTCATCTGAAGTCTGCTGTTTCCTGTTCTGATCCCTATAGTCTCCAGACATCACAAAAGAATGCCCACTGCAACACACTTCACCCAGGTCAGATATATATATATAACTGGATATTATCAGTGTATGGGGATGCCTTGTCCCACGGAGACAGATGGTTTTTATTCATATTGTTAAACATACTTTTTACACTGGTATAACCCAGTAGAAATTATCTTGAAATTCTATATGTACCACATCTGTATTGGCTCAGAATTTCAGAAGATCCAGCATCAAATTTCCCATAAATTCTTTCTCTGCATGTTTCTCAAGCATGAAGGAATAAATTCCTTCTAGCAGTACTAGTTCTACATAGATATGCCACTTGAGATGAGCCCTGTTACATAGCATGAGAGTTGTGAAAACGTGCCTTTTTAAGAAAGCCTTAGGAGGAGATCTAGAAGTTGAACTCCCATCCTGATTTGTTGTTCTCAATGGGATTTAGTTTGTTCTTAATGTTTTAATAATATTCTGCTATTATTTCATTTTATTACACTGTTATTGTATTTAACCTTTTTACTGCAATAGCCCATCTCCCTGAATAATTATTTCTATTGCTGAGCTCCAGTTACCACTAGAGAGTTATTTCTAAATGAAATTGGAATCTGCCTTCTGTAACATAAATCTGTTATACTATTGCCTGTTTTCTGGAATGAGAAATGACAGTTCTTGCTGTGTGAGTCTTTCAGGTTTTTGTAGTGTGATATCACATCCCTTTTGTTCTCTCAAGATTAAATGCACTAGCTTTTAGAATGGAACAGGTATAAAAAGTCTAATTACTTAGAATTAGTAATAGATGCTGTTAAAAGTTACTGACAAGATAATGAAAATGGAAAACATGGTTGCTAGCCTGTGTGAAGAATATATGTCCAACAGCAGCTGACAGTTGGATTAACACAACCTATTTTTCACTTATCTATCAGATGTGACATACTTTAAATGAACTGAAACTGAACTAATAACTTCCTTTTTTTTTCTTTTTTAAATTCTAGGTTGAAGGAATGTCATGGACTACCTCTTATTAATGGGCAAAATTGTGACCCTTATGCTACAGTATCTGTTGTAGGTCCTTCAAGGTAACTAATTAAAATGTATTGAAGTTGCCAAGATAACAATTTAAAATTTACGTCAAAATTAGGTTGATATTAGTACACCAGTTTTCAGTTGATAAATGTCTCATTAACAAAATATACAGGGTTAATGCACATTTTTAAATAGTATTATATGATAGATTAAACTGAATTATAGCTCTGCATATTGTGGATACTCCATATAAGACAATATAGAGGCATGTTTTTAAAAAGTGCTAGTATGCATATTGTGCATGAAAATAATCTGAATTAAATTTAAAGTCCTTGGCTTTTTGTAGGCACTGTGCCTCATAATACTTTTTTTGGGACTAACCATGTCACTGTAAAGCCAGTGGATAAACTACAGTCCTAGAATTGGGAACTTTGGGTTCAACTCTGCTTTTGGATATGGAAGCTGACATGTTGTTTGTGGACAACTCTCTGCTCTTACCCCAATTTACATTCTTGATTTATGTTGGGGGAAGAAATGTATATGTACACTGAGCTTCTGAAAAATGTAGGATATAGATCTTATAAAAGCATACAGTTGCATTCCCATGACAGCAATACATCCACACCATTCATGTGGGATCCAAAATATGCAGTTGGCTAAACTAAAAAACTGCGTATGAAATAATGCTAGTTTACTGCTGTCTCCACAATATTTTTATTCATTATAATCACTTTGTTCCTTCAAAACATTCTGGTGTGTACTACTTTCTCTTTATTCAGTATTGCATGTAAAGATTCCCTTCCTGTTCACATTGATATTTAGGTTATGAGAAGAAAAACTAGTTTGCATGGCTCTATTTTCCCCTCAGTCATTGATTCCCTGCTTGAAGAAAATACCTATTAAAAGACTATTGTGTGTCTATATGAAATCATATGAATGTCAGCATTCAAAATATCATCCAAAATTAAATCAGAGTCCAAGGCAAAACATTGCTACAAGTTCCAATTTATTAAAAGAGACATGTTGGCACATCTGTGGAAAACCCGAATTTGAAAGCTTCCTGTGTTTTTCACCCAGTTGAAAGTTCATGATCCCCCCCACCCCACCCCCCGCAAGTCCATCACATGGTCCAATCTTCCATTGCCACGCTGGCATCTCCACCCATCCACTTCCAGTCAGGTGCAGAGACAAAGAATGACCTTGGGCTTCTAGAAAGGAATGTTTTATTTTGACAACAACACATTCTGCTCCTTACTATTCCCCCTCCCAATTACCCCACTAATGAAACAGCATAGTAAAATAATAGAGTGTGTGGCAGGCCAAAGATCCTAAAATGAATATGACTGCAGGCCTGACAATGAGTATATAAAAGCAATAGTAGATAAAGAGTTTTTAAAATACTAATGTAAATGTAAAAAACTGAATTCTGTAATTCATTCTTAATCTGTTTCAGACTACAATATATAAATAACTTCATTTATAAATGATTTTATAAACTCTGTAATTCTAAATATTTCTTGAAATTTTCTTAATTTTTTTCTTATAAGTATCTCATGTAATCAAATTGTAATAGGTTTTTAAATCCCAAATGGCCAAAATCTTCCAATGTATTGAATGCAAACTGTGTATAGTTTGTTTATATTTTCAGTCACAAATATTAACCTACTTAATATTTTTTACATTTTTAATGGGACTATACAATTTCAAGAAGTCAGTGATGTACTTGGATAATTTTTAAAAAGTCTTTTTTTTCATTTTAAACTAACAAATAAATGGTTACTCACATAAATTAATCCTATTAATTACAATAATATATTTTAAGATCTGTATAGTAAAGCTGTATTATATTGGAACAGGAATGATCAAAAGAAGACAAAGGTAAAGAAGAAAACAAGCAATCCACAATTTAATGAAACATTTTATTTTGAGGTAACTAATTTCTTATCAATATAATGTTGACATTCTGTCCATCAATTTATTCTGTACTGCTTTTTTGTTAGCCATTTATATGTTAATTATGAATCAGTTTGTAAAATTTTGGAATTGGGGTGCAGTAATACTTTCATATTTTCTTGGGTGAAAAAATAGGAGAAAGATTATGATGAACAGTCTATATGTAAAAAGATTCTAAAAAAGCTCACAAATTGCAGTCATTGCAGGACATTGCAACTGGTTGTAAATGAGCCCTTTGCCAAGTTGAATTGTGACTCAAAGGTGTTGTGATGTTTATCTGAGTATAGGTCATAAGTCACTTTTTCCCAAGCTTTGAACCATCATTAAGTGAATGGCCCTAAGTTGAGAACTTAGAATTATTAATAGAAATGTATGAGTGTTGATTATTAATGTTGATATGATAGCTACTATATAGAAACATGTACCAACCTTTTGCTTCTTTTACCTACACTTTAACATGAACGTTTCGGAATATTTTGAAAGTGTTGAAAAGGATGTATGAGAGATTATTTTTAACATAATAATAGGATAATCGTGTTTATACACTAAAAAGACAGTTATTAAATAGCATTTTTTGTGGCAACTTCTGTATTTTTTTTTAAATGTATTATGTTCTTCCTGGAAGAATGCTAGCTGTAATTGTTTTCAGCTAACATCCGAACCTGGAACTCAATCCAAGACCTTTTACTGGTTCAGAATAAGATTATAAATGCTGTAGGAATATTTTTTAAACACTTTAAAAATCAAGGGTTAATTAACTAATTTTTTCATGATATCAAAACATGGGACTTGGGCTTTAACTGAATAAAACAAAGAGTAAGCATTTCTTATGTTTTATATAGATTATTAAAATGCTTTTTAGAGCTGACCATCTTACAGCAGTGAATGTTATCATTGATATATTGCAAACACATTTACTGTAATATTCTTCTTTACATTTCAAGATATATGTTTTTACTTAAAATTTGATCCATTTTCTAGTAACATACAATATTAGAAAGGCCTAGCTATTAGACTGGATTAAATGGGTACTGCTAAAAGAGAAACAAAATAATTTTGTAAGTTTTATTTTCAGGTAACTAGGTCCAGTAGTTACACCAAGAAGTCACAGTTTCAGGTAGAAGAAGAAGACATTGAGAAACTGGAAGTCAGGTATATTGTTCAACATGTTAAAATTAATTTAGATATGGCAATCAAAGTAGACAATGCTTCTTATAATTAAAATTAAAAGGTTGCTGTGTAATTGCTGAAAATGATTGGGATAATTAAGTTTGGGATGAGATTCAGTTTAAAACTGGTCTTGAAAAACACTAATGCTTTCAAAAACAGCAGTTGAAGCATATTCAGAAAAGCAATTTATTAAGTCAAAGTATATTACTTGCAGCATTTATTCTAATTGTGTATAACAAGCATTTGTGGCTAAAAAGTAAATCATATTATGGTTAGTTTTATTGATTTTAGAGTACATCTAGATAACTGTTCAGACATTTTAACTGGTTTATGACTTACACATTTCTTACTTACTAAGTGGACAAATGTGTATATACACCTCTCAATGCAATAACTTTTGAAAAGGAATTATAATTGGAATATTTTGAAGAAAATACATTATTTCTTAATCTAACTTCAACTAAAGCTTTTCTGTAGGGTAAGTTAGAATATGTGAATTCATATCACAGTAGGTATAACATTTAGGGAGGCAACAGAACCTGCTACAATATCTTCAGAAGTCTCACAACACAATGGATTTTTTCTCTTCTTAATATATGTGCTGTTTAACAGAAATATTGGTGAGGTAAGACTCAGCAACCCAAATACAGTGTGTGAATATGCTTTTAAGTTATGAAAACTTGAAATGGCTTGGCTAAAAAGTAATTTTAAAGAATGCATAATGCATGTGTCATTGGAGTGCTACAGTTTAATCAGAATAAAGACTAAATGGAATTAAGAAAAATAAAACAAGAATAGTAAATGCCTGAGAAGAAAATATACATTTTTTCTTTGAATGCCTCAGCACCATTACTTTTTTCTTACTGATAAAGCTTTAGATTTAACTAGTACCGGTAGGCAGGTTCTCACGATTGCTTTCTATAGAACTAAGATACACTTTTCTTCTTAACTCAGACAAACTATTAGATGAGAGATAATAACCTTACTTTTGTGCATGTGCAGTTGGTGTGCTGCTCTGTGTGATTATTTTAAATCAGATGACCACTTAAAAATTAAATATGTTATGATGGCTAATAAATCAGTTATTAAAACTAAGATTTAACTTTCAGGATTGACTTATGGAACAATGGCAACTTGGTGCAAGATCTTTTCCTAGGAGAAATTAAGATTCCTGTCAAAGCATTAGGAAGTGATACTTTCCAAGCATGGTAAGGAACTGACACTAAATTGTCATATTGGTAAAATGAAGAATAGATTTAACATAATTAAACTAGCATAGCTTCTTCTACCTTCCATATCTTTACTGACTAGTCCAAGTGAATTAATCTTTCCTACATTTTCATTGAAACCAACACATTTTTTAAGTATTATTGTTTGCAGTGAAATAAGCAAACAGTTAATCTTAACTGCAATCAAAGACAGGAAAAGTCAGATTGCAATTGATAGTTTAGAACTGCTCAAAAGCCATGTGGACATAGTGTATATCCAGCAACGTGTATAGGGTAGCCGTAGATCCCAATATTATTTAAAGCTTTAGTAAAATTGCATATAAAACTGCCCCGTTTTATATGTACAAAAATATAAAAAAATGCAAAATATCCTATTGCAGTGATGGCTAACCTTTTCCGGACTGAGTGCCCAAAGTGTGTGTGCGTGCGTGCATCCATCCGTACCCATAAAATACAATGCACGCGCGGGCCCCGTGGATGTGTCCCGCACCTGCACATATGAACCCTTCCCGCATGCGGCCTGCCCCCCCTCAAGCATGCACGCATGCCCCTCGCATGTGCAGCAGCGATCCAAAGACCAGTTGGCTGGTGGGAGGCATGCGCTTCCACAGCTGAGCTGGGGTGATGGCTTACATGCCCACAAAGAGGGCTCTGTGTGCCACGTCTGGCATGTGTGCCATAGATTCACCACCACAGTCGTATCTCTGTTTATTCTGACTTACCGTATTTTTTTTGAGTATAAGATGCTGAATCAGTTACTTGTGTGTGTTTTCTGAATGTGATTGCTGCTGCAAACTCTGACCAGCCAGGTCAGCTTTAGCACTTACTGCAGCTTGATTCAGCAAAGCTGATTGGCAGGTGGATCGTACTGCCGGAATACCCCCAATCAGCTGCTCCAGGCTCCAGGGATTGCCACAGACGAGCGCTGTCGCCATGCCTTGCATTTTTGGCCTCTGGTGTGTGGGGGGGGGGGACATTCTACATTCGATGTATAAGACGCACCCAAATTTTCACCCTCTTTTGGGGGGGGAAAAGGAGCATCTTGTACTCCAAAAAATTCAGTAATTGCTTAAAAATACAGTTTGCTCAGCCTGTCATTTAGATAATATCTTAAGCCTTATAATTTCTTCTTTTTAAGGTACCTCCTACAGCCAAAAGATAATGGAAATAAATCTGCCAAAAGTGAAGATCATGGATCTCTTAGACTGAATATAAATTATGCTGAAGATTATGTACTTCCATCTGGGTACTATGAGTCTCTTAGAGACTTGCTTCTGAAATCATCAGAAGTGGAGGTATTTTCCATTTTTCATTTTAAGCAGCTAATGCTCTGCCATTAGCCTACTCCTTTTGTACTGGATTTGTTGGTAAATTCTCCTTTCAAAAGGAGATATTTTGGATTAGATTTGTGTTCAGAATTCAAAAATATGTATAATACAGTATTGTACAACTCCTAAAATGGTTAACATTTAAAAACAACTTCTTATACTCTATGAAAAGATAGAATTTTAGATGCTATTTGCTATGATTGTCAAGAGTTTGCCATTCAGAAAACAAACACTTGAACTATACAGAAGTTCTCTACAAAAAGTGTGCTTAAAGAATTTTCCTCATTATAACAAATTTTAAAAGCTGCTTTGTGTTTATTCAATATTGAGAAGTATGCATATTGTACAGATTTGGTTCAATACATCATTTTTTTAGACAAGAACAAATATTCTGTCATGTAGCCAGCAATCAGACTTCTATTGCATCAAAAATCTGGTAGACTACATATGAGTCAGATAACAGAACCATCTCAGTTCTTGGTCCAGCTTTTACACTACATTTGTATATAGAATTTTTCTGAATTTGGCACAGAATTATATCTCACTTACTCAAAAGAAGGTTCTTTATTTAACTTGCATTTTTAATTTGCCACATATTTATATTATTCATACTTCCCCTTATCCCTTTTGATGTACATAAGTACAAAATTCAATAATTCAATATGGACTTGCATATGTAATAAACATTTGAAGTCTGCTTCAGACCTCTTTCCCCGCTGAGAAATTAGTGTTTTGTGGAGGCCACACTCATAACTATTATGCGAGTGCATTCTGTATAACGGCCAACAACTGCTTTGATTTAATTCCCTGTTACTGTCAAAGATACTGTCATAAAGTCAAAAATACTGCCATAATTTAGTGGACTATCTTTGGAACCTATTTGGGTTGGTTTAAAGGTGGGTAAAGATCCTCTAAAAGGCAAGCCACTATCTACTATTCCTTTTCAAATTTCCCTAAATCTTTTTTGACTTCTTTTGAAATAAGAGTTCAAATGGCAAAGTATACTTTTGAAAGGTAAACCATTTCAATTTGTACTCTTAACCTTTTTCCCAGGTCTAATTTGCTGATTAATTTTGAGAACAGTTTATTTGGTTGCTGGAAGTGCTCTCAGTTTTGGATAGCCTGCACTCATAAAGAACTGATTTTGCTTTTATTGAAAGTATTTTGCAGTTCGATGCTCCATCTGATATTTAAAAAATATGAACATAAAACAGTAATTTTGAGATATTTTTTCCTCTTCTGTCAAATGAAAGGCAAAAAATATAGGTTTTCTTCTATATGGCAAAAAGTAACTAATTCTTGAAACTGGAAGAAAAGTATTTTAAATAGTTTTTTTTTAAACTTAGGCTAAAATGAAAAATTACTATTACTCTTATTAACGTTTCCCTGTATATTTCAATTATGTACATTCATCCCATTTCCTCCTTTTTATAGCCAATTTCTGCATCAGCTGCTTACATCTTGGCCGAAGTGTGTCGTGAGAAATTCAATGGTATTTTGCCACTTATAAGGTTGTTGCTGCACCATCATAAATTAGTGCAGTTTATTGCTGCAGTGGCAGAATTAGAACTGAAGGAAACTGAGTAAGTGATCGACTTTTTCCATTCTCTCCAATAGCTATGTCTATGACAAAGATAAACTTGTCACATACATTTTCAATGAAATTATTTTTGTCAGTAAATATTACAAATTTTCTGCTGCTTAGGACTAAGTGATTCGGAATCTTTTGAAATGAATGTAATAGTTGCTTGATTTTGTTAGAAAATAGATAATTACAGCAGCTTTGACATGCACTATTTTTAAATTTTGGGGAAATCTTGCAATTTTCTGATGCTAGAGAAAAACATATAGGGTCTTCCACGGTTTATCTTTCTTATATTTATTAAAGAGGGAATCCATGCAATTATGCTTTGCCGCCTCCTCAATGAAACACTGCATTAAAGATTAGTATAATTCAGTCCAAGGTTTCTTTCTCCTTCCTGGTTGAAGCCAGCTAAGCATGAATTGGTTTTATTAATGGTTGTAGAATGTGCAAATTCTCTCAGTTTTCTAGAGTTTATTAATGATTTGATTTTAAAAAACAGAAATGGCATAGCAATATCAAGATTATATAGAACCAAGGAAAGATGGAGGAACTTAATCAGTTATATGATGATGTTATATTTCTGGAAATAAATTGAATCAATACTAAACTATACAATACAATAAATAGAGTTGGAAGGGACCTTGGAGGTCTTTTAGATCAACCCCCTGCCTAGGCAGGAAACCCTATACCGTTTCAGACAAATGGCTATCCAACATCTTAAAGACTTCCAGTGTTGAGGCATTCACAACTTTTGGAGGCAAGCTGTTCCACTGATTAATTGTCCTAACTATCAGGAAATTTCTCCTCAGTTCTAAGTTGCTTCTCTCCTTGATTAGTTTCCACCCATTGCTTCTTGCACTACCCTCAGGTGCCTTGGAGAATACTTTGACTCCCTCTTCTTTGTGGCAACCCCTGAGATATTGGAACACTGCTATCATGTCTTCCCTAGTCCTTCTTTCTATTAAACTAAACATACCCAGTTCCTGCAACCGTTCTTCATGTGTTTTAGTCTCCAGTTCCCTAATCATCTTTGTTGCTCTTCTCTGCACTCTTTCTAAAGTCTCCACATCTTTTCTACATCGTGGCAACCAAAACTGAATGCAATATTCCAAGTGCGGCCTTACCAAGGCATTGTAAAGTGGTATTAACAGTTCACATGATTTTGATTCTATCCCTATGTTTATGCAGCCTAGAACTGTGTTGGCTTATTTGGCAGTTGCTGCACACTGCTGACTCATATTTAAATGGTTGTCCACTAGGACTCCAAGATCCTTTTCACACTTACTACTATTGAGCAAGGTACCAACTCGTCTAGGGTAGACAGGTGCTCACTTACCATTTTCTTCCCTATTTCAACTTGGGTTCCTAATCTGATTTTTGTGGTGCTGTTTTTGATAGGTTGGACTGTTTTACCCTTTTGGGTTGAGACAGATGCCAAACATGAGTTAAATAGTTCTGCTTTACCCCTGCTGCTTGTCACCTTCTGGCCACTTTCTCCCAGCAAGGGACCAATCGCTTCCTTAATCTTTCTTGTTTTTAACATGTGGGACGATGCCCCCTTTTGTATTTATTATTATTATTGTTATTGTTGTTGTTGTTGTTATTATTATTATTATTATTATTATTATTATTATTATTAT